AGCTAGAGCTACTACAGTAGTTTACAGAGATCTTCCAGGTCTGTGTATGACACCTGTGAAAACACAGAGGGTCACTCGCTTGTTAGCGTGGCCATTCAGCGACCGCCTAGTATTTTTATTAATAATTACAAGGTGTACTTTGAAGGGGGGGGGGGCCGTACTATGATGTTACAGAGTGTACAGGATCCCCATGGCCCTACCAGGTAGAAAATCTGTATATTTCCAGCTTGGCCCCATGTAAGTATCCTTGTTTATACCTGGCGCTCAGAGTCATTGCTTGAAATCTAGTCCCGCTCTTCTCCCACGTTTCTCATTGTGGGCAGCCATTTATCAGCTGACCAAGTGTTCATCCTATTTACTACAAGTTTGTGCTTCATATTTCAGTGATGTCACTGGCATGTGAGTAAGTAATGAGGATAGTCTCTCCCAGGGTATGGGCCCCGTACAGTGATCAGTGGAATGAAGAGGGCCTGTATATGGTGACACCTCGTCCTCTGAGCAGCACACGGAGCACTGTTATCTGCTGCTGTTACATTTCAGCACTCGGTGAGCAGTAGTTACTTTGTGCTGACTCTGCAGTGACCTCCAAATAACCCCTCGTATTATACACTGATTCCATTGCTTTTTCTGTTATTAGCTCACAGTTGCAAGGCGCTGTTATTAAAACCAGCGTGGAGTAAATTGATTATATATTCAGGAACGCAGCTTTTGGCAGTTGTTGGTTCACACGTGTTGCCCTCTCTGTCAGCGGGGTCTGCTTGGGGGGGGAGTAGATATCCAGGTGGATATTAGAAATTGTATGATAAAGTACATAATTTTTCATCCTGGTTTTTCACAGTTTGGACTAAGTGTTCCCATGTTTACATTAGAAAGGTTTTCATTTCTGGGACATTGCATCAATCTTATACTTTTAGGGCTTGTTCAGTGCGGAGCAGTTACCGAACGCACCAAAAATGCATCCCAATGGTATTTTGGGCTCTAGTTCGCACCGCAGCGTTCTGTTCCAGAGCATGTGGACAAACTGCAGCGTGCCCTATAGGGATGCAGCTAACGATTATTTTCATAATCGATTAGTTAGCCGATTATTAAGTTCGATTAATCGGATAAAAAAAAAAAGGCTCCAGTGATGGACTACTAGTTTTCTATTGAGATTGTAGTCCATCACGGGAGCAAGCTTGGCGCGGTGGAAGTAAAAAAAGTGTGGTGTGCAATATAGTACATTATACAGCGGCGCAGTGCAGAATACCAGCAGCTATAGAGGAATGTAGCAATAGTACATTATACTGTAATGTACTATTGCTGGGATTTGTAGTCCTCTGTAGCTGGGGTTATTCTGCATTGCACTGTATATAATGTATTATTGCTGGGATTTGTAGTCCTCTATAGCTGGTGGCATTCTGCAGTGCGCTGTATAATGATTACATGGCGCAATGCAGAATAACAGCAGCTATATAGGAATACAACAAATACCAGCAATAGTGCAACATTATAGTATAATGTACTTTCTAGGATTTGTAGTCCTCTGTAACTGCTGCTATTCTGCATTGCGTTGTATATAATTTATTATTGCTGGGATTTGTAGTCCTCTGTAGCTGGGGTTATTCTGCATTGCACTGTATATAATGTATTATTGCTGGGATTTGTTGTTCCTCTATAGCTGCTGGTATTCTGCATTGCGCCATGTAATCATTATACAGCGCACTGCAGAATGCCACCAGCTATAGAGGACTACAAATCCCAGCAATAATACATTAAACACCCGGTATTATATATTATTGCTGGGATTTGTTGTTCCTCTATAGCTGCTGGTATTCTGCATTGCGCCATGTAATCATTATACAGCGCACTGCAGAATGCCACCAGCTATAGAGGACTACAAATCCCAGCAATAATACATTAAACACCCGGTATTATATATTATTGCTGGGATTTGTTGTTCCTCTATAGCTGCTAATGTTGTGCAGTGTGCCGGTGTATTATACATTGGTTTTCTGTAGAGCTGCAACAATTATTCTTTTAAGTCGATTCAAATCGACGATGGAAAACGCTGACAACGTTTTCCATCGTCGATTTGAATCGACTTAAAAGAATAATTGTTGCAGCTCTACAGAAAACCAATGTATAATACACCGGCACACTGCACAACATTAGCAGCTATAGAGGAACAACAAATCCCAGCAATAATATATAATACCGGGTGTTTAATGTATTATTGCTGGTATTTGGTGTTCCTCTATAGCTGCTAATGTTCTGCAGTGTGCCGCTTTAAAAAAAAAACAACACAGGAAACATTAAAAAGCTCCCGGCCGATCTCGACTTACCTTTTAATGACGGTGTTGTCGGCGGGCAGCGGCGTTGTTCGTTGTCGGCGGAGAATAGGGAAGCTCACCGGGAGGAGAGGGCCAGACGCATGTCCTCAGCGTGTGTGCGGCGTCGCGTGAGCGGGTATACCGGCGTAGGCGCGAGTGGCTTAACCGACGTGGGCGTGGCGTGAGCGGCGAGCGGGAAATTTGAATTTTAGCCGACGAATCGACTATGGAAAAAGTTGACAACGTTTTCCATCGTCGATTTTAATCGAATAATTGCTGCAGCTCTAGTGCCCTATTTTTTTTTCTGCTCTGGAATGCATGCAAACACATCAAAAACGCATGCAAACACACTGGAACCCACTGAAAGCCCATTTTAGGCTAAAAAGAAAAACCGGCCCGGAAAACACCACAAAACACACTGCACTGCATGTGGAGAAACTCATGCACTTCTGGTCCGCATTTGGTGTGAACAAGCCCTTCTACACAGCAATGGCAGGTAGCACTGTGGCCTTGCAGTTTGGAAAGGGGGTTAAGACCATTCCAGGCTATTTCTTTGCAATCTTCGTCCTGCTGTAGAGATTTTCATTCACTTCTTGTCCCGGAGAAGACATTTCTCCTCATTTATAAACAATTTCCAGATTCACGACCGAATCCTAATTTAAAAATGTGTGAATCTTGAGTGAAATAATTTAGAAGTAGGTCCCGTTCACACTGCAATAACATTAATTCTGTAAGGCTTCCAGCGCACTTTCTTGACGCAATTGCAGTGCAGCACAATGCTCTAGCCAAAATGCCACATGCATCCTTTTCAGGGTGTCGGGCAGCTCATTCAAATCACCAGACTGGTATGCCACGTGTTAACACGCTGTGCGTTATGACGAGAGTTGACAGTGAGTTGTCAGTGAAACAAAAAGTTCTGGGAAATCCAAACTTTTATGGTTGTGACCAGAAGAGGAATAGAGGCGAGATCTACACCTAAAACAGGGGGTTGTCCCCCTTTAGAGAGCTCAGCTCTTACATTCTGATGTTTTTCCAAGGTAAGAAGTGAGGGAATTATCTTAAATGGGACACAAACTGTCAGGTGATTGAATCTCCCCCGTCCAGTTTATCCAAAACGTATAAAGCCAGAACAATTTTCTTCCATTTTAACCTTTCTAGGCGAATAGTTCATCTTTGTTATTTTATTATCCAGGCTGTGTGTGGGCCTGTGCGACACCAATGGCCATGTGTAGTCTGTGTTTGGGGGAGGGTCTTGCTGTGGGGCAACCTTATTTGCCCCACCAGTATTAGAATGAGTGTGGGGGGGCACATTTGTTACCGCAGAAAAGAATTTACTTTTTCCTCTTTAGAAAGTTTGGTATTTTTTTATTTGGATTCATGTATAAAGCTCAATGGCTATTTGAGACTTGGCCTACGGGCTTTTAACTTCAATATACAACCCTGGAGAAGCGGTTTTCTTCTGTGGGTTGCGTAGACCAAGATTATTATGATATGGAAATATATGAATCTCTATGGTATTTGTACAAATTAGTAAGAAGTATACTGACAGTGGAGGAAGTTTTGTATCTGTATTCCTATAAAAAAGTGGGCTTGTCTTTTATTTTAGGTCCATATCAATCAAAATGGATTGGCATGTCTTTTAATAGTTTCTCAGTGTAATATGGTGTTGAAATTTGAGTCACTACATACAACTTTCAAATTTGCTATTTTTAGGCTAAAGTTGGGTTATCAAGGACATTTATATATGAAGAAAGAAAACATGGATCTGAGCACCACCAAGAGATTGCAAATCTCTTGGTGGTGCTCAGATCCATATTTCTCCTAAAGGGGCACTAAAATCAGGAGTTAAATCTTAAAAATGCTTTCAGGTACCAGTACAACTTTGAACATAAATGTATCTTATTTGTGTATCACTTGGCTGTAGATCCTCCAATCATCTCTGAATTGGTGCTGACACCGTCCTTCCTTCTGGAGGGTGGCTACTTCTGTTCCCCATGGTCCCTGTGTGTGTTGTAAAGAAGCCACCGCTCCAAGCTCACTGCCGTGATGAATTACAACTTCAGTACAGATTCATAAACTAAACATGAGATTGTAATCCATCACGGGAGTGAGTTTTGAGCGGTGGTTTCTTACACAAATACACAAATAAGATACATTTATGTTAATAGTTAAGGTTATTGAATAAATTTTGGGAATCTGGCAAACTAGAAATATATGAGCTGCCAATGCTAACTTTTATTTTTTCAAGGTGCAGGCCTTGGGGCTGTCATCCTCATCCTTACTTTACTGCTTAGTGAGTCACTGACCTGTGTCAAGCATGTATTTGGCTGGAGTCCATATATGCCTAGGCCTGTCATGATAGAAGGATAAGGATGACAGACCCCAGGCTTGCACCTTCAGAAACAAGTCAACAGTGGAAGCTCTGTGTTACTATCTTGACAGGTCTAGCGACATATCTTCCCCCTCCCACTGATGACACATTGTTCTGGAATATTTTCAGGCTACGTTTCTCCTGAAAGCTTTATCTATTTGTATATTGTTATTACCGTGTATTTTATGTTTGTCAGCTGATCATTTGTTTTTAGCTTACATGCTAGAAAATGAGTCGTAGAAAAGTAATCTCCATCGTAGGTTTCTGTTGGCAAAGCTTCAAAGTTGCTGACTGTTCTCTTTTCCTTCTACCTTTTTCAGTTGCTGATATGTGTTCAAGATGAGTGGAATTGGAGATAATCCCTCGGACCCTTCCAGGGTGGAGCAGCGGAAGAGGAAAGAGAGCCCAGATCAGCTTGGTCCCAGGTAAGTCAGTACTGTCATTCTGAATGCTTCCCTCACTTGGATGTGACAAGTTCAGCCAAAAACCACACATAGCTTTGCAGTTGCATGTAGTTATGGAATGACAGCATGTCATACCCTGTCTGCTGTTCTGACTCAAGCTAGACCTTTACATTACGCGTTTCCAAAAGCTGCATTTTATAGTGCATTAGAATGTCAAGGTGACTTGGTTGTATTTGCTGAAAATGGAAAGCAAAACAGGACATAAATTGAGTGTTTACACTGCGCCTGCCACTTTGACGAGATGGCAGCCATTTTGTTCTCCTAGCAACCAAAAGTACAGGTTGTTAGTGCAGTGCCCTAATGTACCCCTCCTCTTCTTACCTGGCATCTATTCAATTTATTGTGTGCAAGTCTGCCGACTCCAGACAGCTGAAGTTGGCACACTTGCTTATGCTGCCTTCCGTTTTCCACATGTCATCTTCCAGGACAGCCTATGAGAGATGACTCCACCCCCTTGTAACAGAAAACACATCTTTCACATTAAATAAGAGATCAGTGTAACCCCCATCTCAGTTATTTGTGTTTCCTCCGGCCTAACAGGAGCATTGCAATGTTTATTTTCCTCCAGGCCTTCATGCTAGTTGCAGGGGTCTCCCCAAGTCTGGATCTGTCACTCACAGGGACTTGGAGAGCTCCATGTGCGGCATCTGTCCCCGGACAGGTTCCCCCAACTAGCCTCGCTGGCGTAGTGACTTTAGTTGAGTCCTGCCCCTCCCCCCGTGTGTCCTGCTTTTAAGGTCTGGGACCTGAGACCCCTGTGCTTATACTCCTCCCACTTAAAAGCCTTGGATATTTTTTGTATATAATCAGACTTCAGGACAGTTTTTCGACTTCATTATCTGGTCCTCGTGTGAGTGTACTTTAATGTACATGTACCAATATACCGTGTTTCCCCAAAAATAAGACACTGTCTTATATTTTTTTTGGCTCAATAAAACACACTAGGTCTTATTTTCGGGGTAAGTCTTATTTTTTTTTTATGTATAACAATCCAAAGTTAATACAAATCCAAGTTAAATAATCCAAAATGGCAAAGTTAAGAATAGGGTGATCAGGACGATCAGGGGTGCCATACCTTTCCAAGAGCAATTTGGTAACCAGAATGAGGGAAGCGCACTTTCACTATGGATTCCTCACAGGTGGCGTGCATTTGGCATCACTCCGCCTGTGACGCGAGCCGGCGCTATAGAGGAAGCATCGGCTTATGCGGCTCTGCTCCCTGCGCTTCATTGGCACCGCTGATTCTCTCCCACGGCTCTTCAAGTTCCCCCTTATGCCACCACCGGCCCTGGGAATGGTCACAACTAGGTCTTATTTTCAGGGTAGGTCTTATATTTTAGCAATTCCCAAAAATGGTACTAGGTCTTAATTTCGGGGTAGGTCTTATTTTCGGGGAAACAGGGTATAATGTAAAATGACAGCATGAGAAAAATATAGTGGATACTTATTATTGGGAAGGACCAAGCCATATGAAGTCTGGTCCTATGTAGAATGCAGCACGCACAAACAGGGATCAGGGACGTCCACTAACCGCAATAAGCTGCAATTTTTTTCTTAAAGAAAATAAAGGCAGAGCAGAGGAATGAACATGAACTTTTATAGTTAACCTGCGATGATACCAATACTAACACCACTGGTTCTTCTTTTTGAGGGCTCTGGTTGTTGAGCACATCTTCCAGCTTCACTTATATATTGCCGGGGTTCTTCACCCTTTTACATTAACAGACTGCTCAATGTCCCATACTCCCAAACCCCCCCCTGTTTAACGGTCATCACCACCAGTAGTTTGACCTCAAAAGATGCCAGTAGCCTGGTGTTCACTTTACATATGGATAGCTAGGAAGAGAACAGCCAAAACAAAAGAATGTTATTTTTTTTTTTTTGTCTGATCCCTGTGAAGCCCTCATTGCAATATAGGCCGAGACTGTACAGGGCACCTCAGTTTATGCCAAAGTCGAGATTAAACCTTGCCCGTTTTTAAAGTCCTGCTCGCTGCGTTCTTATCCCAGGACTTGACTGGGCAGTAGAGGCTTTGGAATTTCACAGTTGAATGGGAGAATATAAGTTTTAATCTTAAAGGAAAACTATGGGGTTAAGGGTTTTCCCCCATAGTTCTCCTTAGGGTAACGGGAGGACACGAACTAGCGTCCTCCCGTCACCCTAGGCGCAGTATACCGCGAGCTGTAGCACGTGGTATACTGAGACGCCGCAGCTGAAGCGGATCCTGACAATTATGCTGGGATCTGCCCAGCTGCGTCACTGACAGCTGGCTCTGCCTATCTAGAGGCAGAGCCAGCTGTACCCTACCCCGTCCGTTCCGCCAGTCAGCGCTGGCGGGGAGGGGGGAATCTAGCCCCTCCCCTGTCACGGCAGAGAGCCGTGACAGGATCGAGAGGTGAGCGAACGCCGGTATGTGTTCGCTCACCTCGCGATCTACTGAGCCGATCTGTGACAGTCTCATTGTCACAGGTCGGCTAGAACTATGAGGTGAGTGAAAAGCACTCGCCTCATAGTTCTCCTTTTTAACATGCTCCATGCATGGCCTGGTCTTTGGGTCCAAGGTAGGGTCTTACAGAGATGTCTCAATATGTCTGTGAAGGTTCTCATTCATCCAGGTCATGGTATATCTGTAAAAAATAAGTCAAGGTTTCACTGGACATCCGACCAGCTTTCTCAGTTCAGGCTCTGGGCAGGTTATTACCACCTCCTAGACTCCAATTATGCAAATGCAATCAGAACCTGGTTGTGGCTAACAGATTACGTGGATTGGAGCAACATTCACCATATTTATTCCCAGATAATTAATTTTGTATAAGTCATTCTAAATTGAGAAAGCTGGTTGGATGTCCAGTGAAACGTCTTCAAGATAAATACAGCAAGTCCAGTTGCCTTGATTTACTTTTTACAGCTATGTCTTACAGAGAGGTCAATAACACAAGCTGCAGCACAGTTATTACCTTTTGAAATGTTTTAGGGCCCATTCACACCAATATTGGATTGAAAACGCAAGCTAACGGCGGTCCGTCGTGTTCTGTTGCATTTTTTTTCTTTTTCTTTTTTGCCAATCTTTATTTTGCTTAGCATGTCCTGAGTGGACAAACATCCTATGGTATTTTTATTATATATTTTTTTAACCTCTGTTCTGTTGCAATGTGAGCTGGTCCCATTCACACCCATACATTTATCAGGTTGACATCCGTTGAAAAACGGATGCTAATGGATTCGGTGTGAGCGGGCCCTTTAGAAGGTTGGAGACTAGGAGATAGTCTCCTTTGTTCCACGATTCTGGTCACAAACCGAATCAAACTGTGATCAGACCGCGATCTCGACTAGAGGAAGCCACGACCAGTGTCAGAGCAGGGAAGATGGCTGCGGTTGTGTTGGTCACCCGAAACGGAGTTCCTGAACGGTCAAATTTTGCCGAATTTCTGAATTGTTTGCGAACAGACGCGTTCGTGAACCGAGGTACCACTGTACTTGCCTTTTACAACAATAAAAGAGAATTAAAAATGAACTCCCTGCAAACAAATACAAAGGTTTAGTATCTAATGATGTAGTGCAGGGGTGGGCAAACACCGGCCCCTCAGCTGTTGTGGAACTACAAATCCCATGAGGCATTGCAAGATTCTCAGAGCCACAGGCATGACTCCCAGAGGCAGATGCAGATCTGATCTCACTGATCTCACTGATCTCACTGCTCACACTGATCTCGCTGCTCTCGCTGATCACGCTGCTCTCGCTGATCTCGCTGATCACGCTGATCTCGCTGATCACGCTGATCTCGCTGATCTCGCTGATCTCGCTGATCTCGCTGATCTCGCTGATCACACTGATCACACTGATCACACTGAGCAAATCAGAGAACGAACGTTCTTGGCTCTGCTCCCCGCTCTCCATCCTGAAGTAATTTGCAGTGATTCCGGGTCCCCCAGAAGGGCAGGACCCTGCTTGCTTGAAACAGGGCTGAATGTAGAAAAAAAAAATCACCGGCCGGCATCCAGAACTGCATGTCCTGGGCATCAGGAAATAGGGGTTCCGCACCCCTGGTAGCACAAGATTCAGGTAAGAATACACATGCTTCTTCTACAGTATTTAGACGAGATTTGCTTCTCCCACAGTTCCATATTAATATGCTGCAAATGAGGAGATTCCCATCAATCACTTAGTGTTATGCGTTTACATTGCCTGTGTAGTTTAGCTTTCCGATGCGTCTTATTGTCGATACAAAGTCTCTGCTTTGCCACTTGCCACTGTTTTGTGCCATTTGTACCTGTCGAAGTGTAAGAACTTGTATGGCTGCTTTGAGGAAGAGTTAAACATGGCCGCCAGGAGTGTGATTTGTGCGAGCTCCTGCTAAGCTGTGAAATCCATATGTATATGTAATTGCAGGAGTGGTATGGGAGGAAGGGACAAGGCCCTCTGACTAACACAATCTTGTGACTGTCTTGTGTGATTCAGATACATATTTTGTTTGGGGTTGAAGACTAGAAACATTGTTTTAGCGCTGAAATCCTGCGAGTGGCGTTACAGAGTGGTAATCCGCTCACAGTATCTCATTATCTTACGCATTCCCATTAGGCCCATGCAAGGAAAGAAAAATTGCTCACATGACTAAAACACATTAGCACTACTGCTCATTTAGCTGTGCTACCCTGTTTTAGACTAAATCTCTTAAAGGACCCTATAATGGAATTGCTGTCTTCCCCTGGTGCTGCATCTGTATTGGGCACTTGGCTAAGTATATTGACGTCAAGGTACACACTCATTAGTATAAGTAGATGTCTCATCAAGAATGACAGGCATGTGCCAGATACAGGTGGCCATGTTAAATAGGTTGTCGCTGCTATGAGTACAGGCAGATGTCTGTCATCTGGGGAGCACTGGACACTATCTGCATGGAGTTTGCATGTTCTGCCTGAGTTTGCATGGGTTTCCTCCCACACTTCAAAGACATGCTGGTA